ACCAGACAAATTAATGGACTTAATCTCGTCTAAGAAATTTGATACGCTGTTGCACCTCCATAGACGTGGGGGAACGTTTGCAATAACACCAAATACCGTTCTATTATTGTAGCCAATATTCCAGAAATCCCGATAGACGTCGAGGCGCCATGAAATATCAGTCATAAACAACCATGGTGGAAGTGACGTAATCTTTCCTAGAAATATGACGTGTTTGTTTGAGAACATTCTAGAAAGAATGTTGTTTGTTTGCTATATATACAAATCGAATTGTTTCGAATTCTGTTCCAACATCGATGCGTTCTTGTTACGTTATAAAGTTGTGAGTGATAAATTGTAATTACTGTTATACATTAATCGATTTTAAGACTGTTATAAATTTATTGTTAATTAATTGTAAATAAATAAAATGACCTACTTAATGAAATTTACGTTACAGTATTACAGTATCATTACTACTGTTAATTTTTTTAGAATTTCTTCAATGTCTATGGACTACGTCCTCGAAATTATAGTAATTTACATAAAAGTCAGGAAAATGACAATACTGGCGAGGAAATATTGAAGTACGAGGCCCCTGAGTCTATCACACAGTATGCCTTTATATATCTTTCAATTATTTCGATTGAACTTGTGCTCTCAACTTCGAATTGTTTTCAGAGTCGGAAATTATAAAAAAAGTTTCGTGTAGGTACAAAAAAGTAACAAATAACAACCGGTGTGCCAACCCCTTTGTCGCTTACCGAGAGTTAAAAGATGTGCCATATCAGCAGAGGTACTGATGCTAGTAATCATGGACCTACAACATTATTTCCTCTTATTATTCAATATTTATTTTAAAAAAAACGGAATTACTTCAAAGCTTCTGGAAATAGAAAGCATGAAAAATAATTTCCAACGTGGTAGACGTGGCTTGCTCTGCACACGCAATACACCACGGATGAGCTTTACTGCCAGTGGACCCTGAATCTATCGTCTTAATAATTTTTTTTCAACGTACACAGTAGGGACCGAATACCTGAAAGAATTCTGCGAAACAGCTGTACCGTCCATTAAAGGATTATTTTGAAAAGAAGCATCTCCGCGCTGACAACTACGTCAGATTAGTCAGAAACATCCTCATCCCAGGACCGCTAGCTGACCTACTGTACTCAGTTGGTCAATTGCACTCCAGCGCACGTGGATTTAAATATGACATCCTCCCCCCTGCTCGTGCCGCCCCACCAGAACCGTTCTGGACCGTCGACGCACAAATTCTTTCAGACTACCTGAATAGGAAAATAATTAGTAATAAGTAACGCCAGCATCCTTTTTGTGATCCCCTCCCACACGGAATCGACCCTCGAATTAAAAAAAAAATGAATCACGTCTACAAGCCTAAAACACTTGTATCTGTGTACCACATTTGAGTTTAATAGGTCAAAGCATTCTTGAATTATCGTGCGGATGACCGGACAGACATTCAGATGTGTTGACGTCATTGGTAATGTAGCTTTTCCTAATACTGGCGCAACAACACACCATTTAATACTGCAAAAATATTCCGTACATATACGTATTATTATGTTTGAGAAATATTTAGAATCATAAAGTAGATCGAACTGCAACCACTATTCGCACTTTAAACAAATGGATTACAGTTGTATCAGAATAGGGTATATTTGGTTTCGTTTTCATTGGAAGGATTAAAATTGGCAAGGGCAACTTATCAAAAATATAATACAAAGTATTTTGAAAGTCAGAAAGAACTCGAAGAAAAAAAGACTGAAAGGAAATTGGCCAGTGTTGCATTTTATTATTTAAAAAAGATTATCAGTTTCGACTTTTTCGCAGAAGACATGCAAAACAAGATCGAATATTCCGTTTAAAACCTCGGAACGATGCAGAGCAAAGAAAAAAAAGAAACAAATCTCGATAAGGCCACTAAAGAGTAAAACCTTTGAAAGTTTACTCGAGGGCTTTATAAGTTTAAGGAAAAGTTGGGTACTGATCAAAATACTAAAAACATTTTAAAAAAAAACGTTACAGTGCTACCTACAATCACACAATATTTCTAAAAAACCAAAATTGTAATACGACCATTTTTTATATATCTCAGTCAAAAACTCCTTTAACGAAACGCCAACTTACACTGCATTACAGTGGAGACTTGAAACTCGCGAGGCGAAATGCGGATAAAATTTACAATTTGGAAGAGAGCGAGAGAGACATCCGTACTATATGTTATGAAAATTATGTTTAATATTTATTTATCTTTAATATTTATTATTTATTGTTACTATTCTTCTACCTCACCTTGGGAAGTAAAGATGATGGCAGAGTCCTTTCTCCTTCCATACCAACCCATAATCAGCAAATGTGGTCTGCACACAATTCAAGACGCCTTGTACAAAAATGCCGATGTGCTGAACAAAAGGAGGCAGATTCTGTAACCGGATCACGGTTGGCTTGAAGAGAAGGCACAAACTGTTCCGAGACGATATAAATATAGAAGCGTGTCTTGAATGGATAGAATACTTTCTCAAATGTCTTGAGAAAAACAGCTTAATCGCATTGACTTCCGAAAACTATAAATTTGCCTCGAAAGATCAAATTGGAGAAACAATCGGAGATCAGAGAATCATCAACAAAGATCGCATCTTTCTGCTTTAGCCATTATGCACAAGGGTTTCTTCGACATATGTACAAGAGACAGGTTAGGTCTACGTCATTGTTCCGAATATGCTTCTTTTCTCTAAAATTGCCATAACAGGCAAATGTCTTGATGTTCCTTAAGTGAATACAGCTAGGAGAAGGGTCTGTAGCCAAGATAGGCTCTTTTGGGATGATGACCTTCAAAGATTCAACGCTGACACAAGATCATGGATATATTGAGAAGAACGATTTACTCCGGCGAGTCCTGGCATGTTAATGGGCATGCTCAATGCAGGAAGTACCACCCATTAATGAATGAATCAATACGAAGACGATCTAGCGATGGCTCAATGTCAGTATACATCGGAGGAAACATGGCTCTTAACATGCAATTCATAATCGACTTAGAGCTGATATGGATAAATTTCAGCAAAGAAAAAACATTTTTCAAACGAGGGTTTGATGAATACACCTCATGGTACATGGATGGAAATTTTACTGCTCAATTCGGAGTCGGAACTGCGCGCATAAGACCGCAAGGAAAAAATCCACCTGATGACTTTGCATCTAAATCGAAGGGAATCTCAACGGAATGGGATCATTGACTATAAACCATTTAGAGGCTACATTCAGATTAAAGCTTGGGATCATGAGGGTAAGAAAATTATGGAGAGTAGACACATACAAACAAGCGAGAAGGTGTATCAACCAAGGTATTGCGATTGTCACTTGGAAGAAACAGCCCTTAAAGAAAGAGAATGCCAAACGACGGAAGAGACAGAGTATCTCTTAATATTTATTCCATTCGATATCAAGAGTCGAGTGAGCAAACGAAGTTACCTTTAGGAGCGACGCTAAATTTGCTACTTATCGTACAACTGTTCGATAAAAAATTGTATCATTTTTATCGCAAGGGAAATTCAAGTAAAAAAAAGAACGATACGGTGGAAGACCAATCTTGAAGTGATCGGCCAATTGAACGTTTTTTTCCTCCCACTCGAATGGAGTTAAACGAAAAATTGTTTAAAACAAATCGTCGGCGATGCTTTTGCTTTGGGAGTTTTCAGGACCCGTCTTGAAACACAAACAAAGGAGTCCAACGTGCGCGAGTCATTGGGAGGAAACAGATAAACCCAAAGGTGAAGCGAAAGCTAAGATCGACAGGGCATCTCTCGCATCCCGTCGGCCGATGGGTCTTGTTCGTCGCGATACCGCACTCCCGAGTCTCCATCAGGCATTGTCGTCGACGTTCGCGTGTCTTGGTTTGGCGCACCTCTAGCGCGCACGCTGGGACCCGAAAGATGGTGAACACTGCCTGGTCATGGCGAAGTCGGGAAAACCCTGATGAGAGTCCGCAGCGATCCTGACGTCCAAATCGATCGTCAGAACTGGGCATAGGGACGAAGGATCAATCGAACCGTCTAGTGGCTGGTTCCTTCTCCCTCTGAAGTTTCCCTTAGAGAAACTAGCGCTCGTTTTGCGAGAGTCTCATGCGATAAAGCGAATCGGAGTCGAAACGACCTCAACCTATTCTCAAACTTTAAATGTGTGAAATATTCGGCTTGCCCGACACACAAAACCGTGAGATCGGATCTAGAGTTCCAAGTGGGCCATTTTTGGTAAGCAGAACTGACAAACGTGTCTCTTTAAGTTGACCGAAAATGAACGCGATCGGTCCACTGGTTATGAAGATACTAAATTACTAATTATATCTCACAAATGAGTTTCGGCTTGCAGTTCTCTACAGGTTACATAGAGGAAAACATTTATGTGTCCTTTATGATCAATTTTGTAACATATTTAGGTTTACCATATCACCTTGCACAAATTTGGTCTTTTTAATTGAAAGCTCATCTGTACGAGTTGTTAATTAATTTCAGTAAAATGAAGTTATACACCACTAAATGGGTTAATAGCCAATGAAAGAGGCGAATAACTAGACAGTTCTTTGAAGAAATGATATACTATTGTTTACATTGAAAAGATCAAAATGTTTAATGAATCAGGAACCGTTTTACAAGATACGGTATGTAATTTTCATTATGCTTTTTACTTGACCTGATACGTTCTCATGAACAATAATTAAAATGGTTCAGGACAATTAAGCAAAAAATGTACAAATGCATGTTTTTATAAACCCTACAACAATTAATAATTGTGATTGTGTTGTGTATATTGGCATACTGGTACTACTCTTCATACAATCCGTCTAAAACAAATTAAACTGTAATGCCACGATGAATAATTAGCAATTATAAAAGGAAATCTACCTGCTTTATGAGCACATAAACGTATATCCAGAGACCATTAAAACGAGAGCGTTTTATTGTTTTTTTCTCAATAGTTCTGCAAACATTGCTCAGACATATCTAATTGAAACGTCAAGTGCATGAACTTTGTGAAATGCAAGTTAACGGGCAACCGCATATTTTATGACTCGCGCTTGATATTAGAATAGAAATGCATCCTACTGTCCAATCGAGCGAAAATCGATGAAACTGCAGCATTTTTCAATGAATTGTGCATCGTGTGCGGTAAGTAATAATGGATTTTCATCTTACATGACATACGAATAGTCCTTGTTACTTTAAGGAGACAAAAAAACGTACAGATTTGATATTAAACTCGTCTACTCAAAATAAGAATGATACGGTAACCATTATTTTAACAGAAAGGAGGAAGCGGCGAGAAAATATAGATTGATGGTGGAAAACACGTTCAGCAGAGTAGTTTATGAAAATAAATTACGTTGCCTGCCCCCAATTCCTTATTGTTATTGACCAAACAACTTCCCGTGAAAGTACGAAAGTGCTTATCTAATTTGGAATAATTATCCCGTCATATATCTTCATACCTTTGCTTATTTTTGTGATATAATGCGGCCGTAAGAGGCGAGACTACCATCTATTGGAATAAATCCGTACCTACTACGAGCGTGGTCACCAATCCATAACGGTCGTATTTAATAAGTTATAAGATATAATTTCGCTAATTAAAGATGCCTATATTGAATTCTAATTTTTTTTCTTAGTTGTGTCGGTACGAGTCAGTTAATACACTTACTAGCTAAGAATATCGTTCATCCAGATAATTACTCAAGGATAAGCGCAATAAGCTTAGATGTTAACATAGTCATCGATGGAAGTAACAGAAAACAAGACCGTCAGGCAAGTGTCGGCGAAAGAACAATTGAAAACAATAGAATAATTAACATGTGAAGTTTTTGATGAGTTCTTTTCATGCACTATGGATGCAGAAAAAATAATTTTAACACCATCAATCAAACGTCCAAAAAGAATATTTGAAGAAATATACAGCAGACATACCCATATTACCGATTTCGATTGATGAAACGCTCATAAGTCATAACATCATCTATGTAGTGGCCGAAGAATGTTTATAAGGGATCGTTTCAATATATTTTGAAAATCTCTAAACATGACATATTCACGCATAGTTTGTATATTTAGAAAACATTTATTTACGTAACCGTCACACGGCATGGAAAAATTTCAAAATAGCTTGAGGAAAGATTGAGAGAATTGAGAAGAACTTCACACCAATCGCCTTCGGTGCAGTTCATTTTGCAACAAAAGACACATTTGAACGATAGATAACCCTCTCAACCCTCTCTCAAACACCAGTCAGTTGTTCACTAGCAGCATCCATTCGAAGTTGTAGTTTTTTAATTTTTAATGAAAGTAACCATTTACGAGTACCAATTTTCCAGATGAAATATATAAACAGCATACACTGTTACTAACCGAACTGAGTGTAAGAACATTTAGGTATACTTTATAAAGATAAACGGATAAAAATAGTGCAGCGAATATTCTAGAAATCCAGATAGACATCGAGGCGCCATGAAAGATTAGTCATCGGCGATAAAGAACGAAGGTGGATGTGACGTGTTTTTTCCGAGAAATCGATAGTCGACTTCGGAAGTATTCGGATTTCTCAACAACGCACGAGAACGTTCTAGAACTTTTCCATTGCAATTAAGCAAACTGAATCGCATGTAGTTAGTGGCGAAGTCCAATATTAAGTTCGCCTCGTGGTATGTTATAAATTGTGAGTGATATCAACTGTTATTAATTGTTAATTAATTGTAATTAAATAAATCACGAAATTACAGATTATCATGTTAATAACATCGAGCAGAAACAAAAAGCGTTGAAATAGGAAACTAGAGAATAAAGTAAAATGCATTTAAAAGAGAAGTCGTTTCAACAAATCCGTAAATACTATGCGAGCGTTTATCAACAATACCAACATTGTAGAAAACTACATTTTTCCTATACGGGTGTTTCTTTATTATTGAGTCGGCTGACGAATTTATGTCGATTAATCAGTAGATGGTGACAAGACTTGCCAAAGAGTAAGAAGATGGCATGAGTACGACATACAAATAACCAAAAAAATAGTCTCAGAATATTGGCGTGGAAAGTGACTCTTCGAAATATTAGAATGCGTTCCAGTCACTTAATTAAGAGTAACTTTGGCCGTCTCTGCCGACCAAGCTTAGACTAGGTATTTACCAAAGAAAAGAAATTAAAAAGGATTTGTTTTCTAAAAAGTTCTTAGCAATAGTACAAAAGGTAACTCACTAGTGAACAGTACAACCATAAGCCATGGAAGGAACCCCACGAATGCAAAATCCAGTTCAAACATTGTGGGAAATAAAAATACCTAAATGGTATCCTTCGACCCCTACTGTTCGGTTACCAAAGCCGGAAAGTTTGAAAACTAAACACAACAAATTTTAAAAACGTCAACAGATCCTCGGACATTGATTTATAATGTATAATTTGCCACATTTGATCATACTAATAATATTATGATGTGAAAATGGAACTTGATATTAACTAAATATTTGTTGTCTCATATGCAATCACTGTGAAATATATAGCTATAAAGAATAGAAATTTACTTTTCTAAACCAACATAAACTTTTAAGTAATAGCACAAGAAAAAACAATGTGCCAAAAAGACAAGACGCTAGAGCAATAAACCATGAAAAGATAACACAAATGGGAAATGGTTAGTCCAGTTCAAAAAATAAATATTCTTAAAGGGTACGCCTTGACCCCTATTATCCTTCCAGAAATTCAATCAAAGATGTCGGTTGCATAGTTCATAAGCTCAGTACCATGGAAGAAGCGTTTCGACATCTTTTGAAAACCTTCCTCTAATTGTGTTGGCACGAACATCAAACAATGCTTATTATATTTCTTCAAAATGGACACTAGACTTAGTTGCAGATTATTTTGAAACAAAGGACGAGTACTAATTTTTGGTGGAAATAAGTAGAATGTCAAAAATAGTAGTAGTAGAGTACAGTATAATAGCAAATGACACTAATGTAATTATTTTATTCCAAAGTAAGTATATTTGACACACAAAGAATTAACTCTTTTAATGCAGCAGTAGCTCAAATTATTACAACATTCAGTATTACACGATTTGGGTATTATTAAAGAAACGATCGAATGATGAGACACGGCTAGACAGAGCAAGTGTTTACCAGTTTGAGTTCTCACTTAATTCATCAATGGGTTTTGTTTGCGACGTGCAAACATTCTTTAGGTAGAAGTTTTTAAGGTTAATTGTATTATTGTTGATCGTCTCTTTTTATTGTTTTAAGATTATTTCAGTATGCTGTTTTAGTGTTTAGGTATTTGCCTGACCGCAAATATACTAGCAACGTACGCACAATGTTTACGTATAGGTTAGGTAAGACAAGAAAACGACCACTATCCGTGTAACCGTCGACCAGTACGTCAGGATGACACTAAAAAATAAGCTTAAAGATATTTCTTAAATTGCGAACAATAAGTTTCGTACATTAAAAATGGTCCTTGGAGCCGGATTGTGATAGGGATACGTGTAACAAATTTATATTCGATTCCGTAACGTGCAATTAAACGAATAACGTTCATGTGCATATTGACCAATATGACCGGGACCTTTTTCCAGGATTTTGCGACGGCAACGACTACCAACTGTGAGAACGTAAATAGCTGCTTTTGTCTTTGTGGCCGATATTAAGTAAATGTATAGGCAAATTTTAATTCACGCAGATCATAAATAATCTCTAATAAATATATTCTGGCGATGGAGTATCAACAGTCCAAGCAAGTCCTCATTTAGTGACTAGATGTTTGCTTGAAGCCGCTCAACAAGGAGCGAAATGGCCATTAGCAAAGGCTCCCCCCAACCAATGCGAATTATTCGCAGCTGCAGCGGCAGCGAACATTCCGCGACGACAGCGGCAGTGAAATTCGCCTAGTGCCTCACCCTAGCGAATAAATCGTACAAAATGAACATTTATTTATTCATTAATTTTCAATCAGTGACCACCGTAGAAGACAATGTCATCATCTGATGAAGAAGAGGCACTTTTGTTTCTTGCCTTAGAAGCTGAAGAAAATGTCAAGTATATTTTTTTCTACACACTATTTATTTATTAGAAAACGATTGGCACTGATTTGTCTGTTTTTAGGGTGAAAAGAAAGTCTATTCATGATATTAACTTGGAACGAAAAAAGTATGGAGAATTTCATACGTTGATGCCAGAACTCCGAAAGGATGAAAAACGCTTTTATAATATATATTTCAGAATGACTGGTGAGTGTTTTGATGAAATTTTGAGCCTTATCACAAATGACATTTGGAGATTCCTTGAGACTGCTGAGACCCATTATTTGTCAAAGCAGTATAGATATTACAATCTTGTGCAAATCCAGATAAAGTACTGGAATTTTCACTCTCAGATCTAGGCACTGGTGCAATATTAGAGTTATCATCATGTAAAGTGCTGTAAAGAGAACTATTTCCGCCTTCAAGTCTAGGCATCATATTTCTGTTGAGTTCCTCATTATGCAAAAGTTCCTGCTCCATTATAACTTCAGCAATTTTCAATTTAGTTAACCTGTCTCCTTCCGGAAAATGTTTTTATGATATTTGCGTGGGCCAAGAAAAGACAGAAAGTGGCATCATATTTAATTTTCAAAATATTTTACCATCTCTCCTACAGAAGATACTGGTGTAGAGTTCTTCCGCTTTCTACCGATTGTATTATTTGCAGTTGGGGCAGTATTTGATACCGTTAATAATTGGGATGGCTGAGTGACATTTAAAACTTGTTTGTTTGTTTCTTGAGAATCCGTTCTTTTTCAGTTGGGACGCTACCTATATATTCGAAATTAGCCTTTTCAGTGTCATAATTTTCTGATTCTGCAATGGATTCTAATTCAGTTTCCTCAAGAACGCTATTTGTAGGATTATGTCATTGATATTGGAAGAAGTTTTGGCGAGTCAAGTAAGGCCGAAAAGCTGTCATGTGCTCTGCCCACAACCATTTTTTCATGGTATTTACTGTTTGTCCCGTTTTGGTTTTTGTAGACCTAATATATTTTGCATATGTATCCCGCAGATTTTTCCATTTTTAGTGCATTTCCACAAAAATAAAAAAAAAACGCGCGAGTGTGGCCACTTTGTCCGTCCGTCCGTCCGCTCGTTCGTTCGTTGAAAC